CATGTAATAGGTTGCCCGATTACACGTTTTCCCATGCCGTGCTCGTCTTTTGGCTAGGAGAAGGGTTTCGGCTCTGCCGATTTGAACGTTGCTTTCGTAACGGACAGTTAGGGCGGAGATGCCTAGTGCTTCCACACATGTAACATCTACGGATGTTATCTTGCTGCTCTGCAGCTTGAAGCTAATATTTTTTCCCTTCAGCATGGCTGAGGTTAATGGGTTCGGCCCTGTTAGAGGCGTTTACATTATACCATGGCAGACTATAGCGAGCAGATTCGAATTTAAACTCAGCCTTAAGCGATATGTTCACTGCCTCTTCAAAAGTCGAAAGCTGGACACGAAAAACTTCTGTCCTGGCGACCCCAGTATGCAGTCCTTCCATACAAAATAGTTACTTGAACTTCCTCTGCCAGAGGGTCCTGCTGCATAGCAGCAATGAGAGCTCTCAACTCTTGGACGTACTCCAAAAATTCTTTCTTACCCTGTCGGGTAGCTAAGAAGCGTGAGCGCACACGATAAGCCTAATTAGGCGGTGCAAACACTCAAAAATTGCTTTTTAAGCATTTCCCATGTGGAAAATGCGGCATTTACAGAGACATCGCTCGTTAGAGCCTACTCTCTATCTCTTCCACCGAGCTTAGAAATGGCTAGGCCAACTCGTTGCTTTTCTGACACGAGCATGGCGCCATCCATTGCCATTTCAGCCTCTCGGATCCAGAGGAGAAGATTTTCTCCCTTTTCCCCTCAAAGTTTTTTACGTTTAAAATGAGTGGTCGAGCCTTTGGCTCTGAATCAGGCACAGGAACCAGGATATACTGCGTAGGCGCAGCTGACGCTGCCTGGTCATGGACCTGCCCGAGTAGCGTTGCTTCATAACGCATAAAGGCCTCAAGGCGAGCATTAAGGACCTCCGGGCCTTGGGCCAAAAGGGCCTCGATTTGATCGGGCTCAAAAAACGCAGATAGTTTATATAGTGCGAGTCGTTGCGCCTCAGAGAGGTGATTATGACTCTCCATCCTCACAGAGGGTCAGTCTTAAGACTCAGGTGTAGGATTGACTACGAGTGCTACCAAGTGTAGCCCAGCTGCACATCTCTTTAGCTAGAGGAAGACTTTAGGCTGAAAGCCTCTTAGTTCTAGAGAACTAAATAGAGTTAAGGCTAAAAGCCACTTTGTTCTAAGGAACTACTCAAAGGACTTAGAAGTCACCCTGTTCTAAGGAACTAGGAAAGAGACTTTTAGTCAGTCAAGCAATAAGCTTAAGGTTCAGCGAACCAACGCACAGGGTGCAAGAACAAGCTAGAAGCTTAAAGGTTCAGAGAACCAACGCACGAAGTGCACAAGAGAACAAGTCAGAATAAGGGGGAAAAAAATGACTTGCAATCTTAAACTCAAAAGGAGAACTGATTTTATTTATGCCTTAAGATTTTATGAATAGTCCTACTTTAAGTACACAACACTAGAATAATTACTATAATAGTAATTATTATATGCAGACTTTGCTATTGGACGACGTATCGTCTAAACATCTGTGTATAATGTACTTAATACAGCGTTATCGATTTATCGAATCCTAATCGATAAGATACGGTATTCGGTAATACCAGCGTTAAAGATGCGGTATTCGGTAATACCGTATCTTTAACGCTGATACTTAATACCTCTCTAAGAGAAGTATCAAAATGCATTATATGCAATAAAGGGAAACTTCAACCGTAAACTTTTGGAATGATGTTACACGTCGGACCCTTAATTAGGCATCTAAAGTATAAAATGTAGTCATGAAAAAATATTAGTTTTTGTCAAAAAAAGTAGTTTTTATCAAAATCTGATCCGAAGAAAATATAGATGATCCACCCTCTCATTTGACATTCATTCTTCTAAAACATGCTCGGCATTGGATTTAAGCTCAGCGATACGTCCGTGTCCTCTCTCTGTAGCTCGCTCAATGAGTTTCTGAGTCGCGAATACGCGTCTGATATGGACGTAAGAGAGACACAGATGCATCAGAAGGCGCTAAGTCAATTCAAACAGCTCAAGACCGACGTAGATCTCGTGCGTACGCCCTCTGCTATCTCTCGCCATGTGTTACTGCGTTATTTTGCGCAATTGGACAAGATGGAGCAGCGTTTTCCATGCAATGGTGATGCATCCTCTACACGGACGCCGTTGCAGCTTCAATTTACGTGGACCGACTCGTTTTGTCCGCGGAAAAAGAGCACACAAGCAGGAATTTCTTTTGAAAAAGCAGCCGTTATGTTCAATATCGGGGCTTTAGAGAGTCAATTAGGTGTCCAGACAGACCGTAGTACGGTTGAGGGACTTAAAATAGCCTGTCACCACTTTATGAGAGCCGCAGGAGCTTTCAAAGAAGTGAAAGACAAGATTATTGAGCAGACATTAGGTATTCGAACACCTGACATGAGTGCTGAAGGACTAGGATTGCTTACGTACTTGATGCTGGCTCAAGCTCAGACGTGTTTCTATGAAAAAGCTATCAAAGACCAAATGAAGGACGCGATCAAAGCGATGCTCGTGCAACAAGCACTGGACTATTACGTCTCAGCACTGGAATTCTGTCGCTCATCGGCTTTGGCGGGAGCGATTGACACGTCGTGGGGAGCACATTTGCAGTTCCAAGTGCATTGTATGCGTGCGGCTACGCAATATTGGCAAGGAATGGCGTCTAAGGCGGTAGCCCTCGATCGGGGAGAAGGGTACGGTGAGGAGATCGCGAGGCTTGTTGCCGCGGATGCGGAATGCAATGAGGCATTCAAAGTAGTGACACAGAACAAACTGCCTACGTCGCTATTTCAGTCTGCGCAAGCGTTACAGCGCGTGGTGCGGGAACATCTTGAAGTGGCGAAGAAAGACAATGCCAGTGTTTATCTGGAGAACGTGCCAAAATTCTCCGAACTACCAGCGGTAGGAAAAGCTGCAATGGTCAAGCCTCTGGCGTTCACATTGGATGAGTTGAAGGACGAACTTGGAGGCGTGGATCTGTTTGAGCAGTTTGTGCCCAAGGACCTGCTTCTCCGGGCTGGTAACGTGAAACAAGAAATCAAAGCGATTTTGGAGCAAACGGCAGACAAGATATGTAAGAGCAACGAAGCTGCCAAGGAGAAACTTCACTCCATGGAATTGCCTGCCTCAATCGAAGCCTTTGAAAAGACCAGCGATAATGGCATTCCACGTACGATATGGCAGCGCATTCAGTACGTTAAGACAACAACAGCTTCTACTACGATGGGTACTGGTGGACCGAAAGGCAATCCGATCGTGGCTTTTATTCAGCAGCAACTCCATGAGAATCAACGAATGTCGGATGATGCGGAGAAGAAACTGCACGTGACTGAGTCGCGTCTAAGCCAAGAAGAAGTCGAGGACAACGCGTGCCGACAAAATTACGGTGATAAGTGGGCTCGTCCTCTGTCCACTTTATTGAATCAGAATTTTCGAGCAGACATTGATCGGTATTACCGTTTGGTGAAGGAGGCGAAAACATCCGATCGTAAGGTTCGAGAGAAGCTCAACGAAAACCAGGACAATCTGGAGGCATTGTCGCGGTCTAAGGCAAGCCTTGATAATGAGTTGCCGGAGTTACAGCAAAACAACTTCAGCTGTAAGGAAGAGATAGCGCAGGTGTCTTCGCTGTTGCTGCGACTTGGTCAGCTTGTGGAGGAAAAACAGCACGTCTTATGTGATTTTAGAGAGTCGTACGACAAGTTTGACGCTCTTCCTGCGCTATTGAGTGGAAACGATGCTGACGCCGTCTTCACTGATCATACACTTGAAACCGAAAAGCAGTTCTTTCGCGACCATTTTGAAGGGAAAATCTCTGCTATATGTGAAGAAGAGCAGAACGTGCTCGGAGACCTAATAGAGGCCAACGCTCGTTTTGAAGCAAAGAAAGATACCGATTATGTGCTGCACGAACGTCAAACGTTTCTTCAGCACTTAAGCGATGCTGTTGACGCTTTCGAACAGCTTGAATCACACGTCAAAGAAGGAGCAAAGTTTTACGATGAGCTTAGTATTCGAATCGCGCAGTTACATCAAACGGTAGAGGACCATTGTTCTGCGCGCGAGCTTGAAAAACGCGAGCTAGAGATGAATTTGGCCGCTGACGAAGAAATGAGACAACACGAGGCCGAAGACGCAGCTCTGGCTCAGAAGATGATGGAGGATATGAGATTGTGGAATGCCACTGCTGGGCCAAATATCAACGATGAGGCATTAGCTCGGCAATTGGCGGGAAGCACTTCACAGTACTATCAGCCTTCACAGCAAGCGCCAACGCCTCCTTCTTACGATTATGCGAGATTGCAGCCTCAGCAACAACAGCGTCCGTTTGCACAATACCAGCAAACTCAAGACCCCACACAGCGACCTTTACACGACAACAGCTCAGTATCATCTGCCCCGCCTCCTCCGTATGGAGGAACATACAATCAACCGCAGCAACACCACCCATCACAGACACGAAATTTCTATCAGTATCCTGGAGTGTAACAGGAGACCCAGTATTGCTCGCTGTAGTCGTGAGGTCCGCTGGAGGTTCAGTTTGTGTTATTACTTATGTTAGTAATAATTTCTCGAGGCGCATCATCAGTGCCATCGATTGATCAGGTCGAAACAACATGATGTCATGAACTCAGAACGAGCGCTGATTTTGAGATGCAGGTATCCGTTTGCTTGGTAGACTGCTTGTTTGACGCGGAATGTAGTGCGAAATCAGACACAAATTACTTGGGACTCGGTTATCCACTTCAGGTGTTTAGTATTCCGTGGCAGATGTTGCTCGCCACTCACAAACGAACGAAGTACAATGTTGTCAGCCCCTTGCTGCCTTACAACAATTTGTTGCATTGACCATTTGTTGTCGTATTGTATCACGAATACTTGAGTGAGATAGCCAAACGAATCTGGTTTCGGTGGTCCGTTATAACATCCACATCTTCAACATCGCTGCAGCCTTTGGTTTAACGAACTATTTAATCATTGAACTCGGTAATGAACGAGGTACAGCCTAACTGTTGCTTGATCGAAGTAGAATCTGTTCATTATGATCCGCGATGTGACGGACAATAGCAATCAGGCATCCACGATTGAGATAGCTACATCTATCAGCAAATCCGGGAGTGTCGTCGGAGATGGCAATGAAATTCGTATGTCCAATGCGCCTAGAATCACTTTTTGTGCTGATACAAAAATTAACAGGAGAGCATTCGTCGAACGAGTCATTCTCGTCTCACCTCGACAAGAGTAGTATGTATGTATGTATGTATGTATGTATGTATGTATGTATGTATGTATGTATGTATGTATGTATGAAATACCATTGCTTCTTAAGACTATCACGATCAAACTACACAAGTTCCTCATCACTTTTCTTCCACACGACCACAATGTCGACAGCATCGGGGAAGGTAAACTGCTGGTCCTGCAAATACCACGATATGATCGTCCATGGCACAAGCTGCGTTGCATTCTGGAGCACTGCCGTACTACTTGCATCGGATGCAGATGCTTTAACACCATCGAGGAATAGCACGTCCAGCTTTGTCGTTGGGTCCTGGCGATAGGTGAGTCTCTGCTTTTGCACGTGGTAGAGTATCATGGTCGTGCCTGGTTTTGCTTGAAACTCCATCGCATCCAGCTCCTTACGTAGCCGATCTTGTAATACACTGATGCGCTCATTCGGAGAAATTTCGACGGTCACTACACGAACATTCTCGCTTTCCGTGCTCAGCAAACATTCCAGACGTAGCATTATCAATTGTGCTTGAACGACCATGATTAAATACTTGAAAGATTGAAATGGACCTGAAAATATAACATAATACGAGCGTATCTAAGCTTATTTGTCAGCAGGAAGTCGAACCATCATATGTTCCAACCTAAGACGGATGTCACGCACAATACTAAGACGGATGTCACGCACGGTATTAGAAGATTTCATTCCAAAACCAATTAACTTGCTGCTGCAACCTGCTGATCCGACTGTTTTGGTAAAAGGTCATGGCATAAAGGTCGTTTCATCCCTTCACTAACTCTGACATTTGCCTTAACGATGGGACGCGTTTACTTCGAAAATCTGCGTCAGTTACTTCAACACGCCCAGCGCTCGTGCATTCATTGAACTTGCACGCAATACCAATCCATTGCTCACCACTAGCACCGCCAAAGTCTACAAAGTCTACAAGCTGCATCTGTCGTCTTCATGCGATATCGTTGCAACTTCACGATAAGCAACAGATGTTCCGACGAAACGTAATCATGGCCACGGTATGCTGATGTCCATCTCTCGCACCGGATTTTTGGATTGCATGTCCGACCTTGGAGTTTGTGTGGCACCTGATGCACGACAGTGGAATACTGCATTATACTGCAGCATACATGATACGATTGCACGACAAGACAATCCTAAGTCAGAATCTTGGTACACCGAGTATCGGATACCTCATGGTACCCGGTAACCAGCCACGATTTGCCGTATTACGAATCGTGGATTACTCCATCTCTCCATCGGTTTGCCACAAATCGACGCGGTACCACAGTTGGATACATGCGACAGCAGTGGGCATCGTTCTCTCTATGCAAAAAAACGAGCCAATGAAGCTTTTAGAAAGAATTATCCCGCTTTGCACTATTCCTGGCAATCGCCATCGATGATAAAAGGAAGAATGCTCGATGTACTTGAGCGTGTCCGAGCACGGCGGATATTCTAGTGAGCAACGCCGCAACGTTGCTGCTTACAGTCGTTTAGGTTCAGAAATGGTCCATGTTTGCGCTCCCCAATTGGCGTGTCGCAGGTCGGAACGTCATCAGGGTCAAAACCGGGCCTGCCATCATCAGCTGTGACGAGCTTAGTTTATTCTAGATGCTTGCTATCAGAGCATTTGTGCTAATATTCTGGCTGCGGTGTTGAGGCGGTGTAGGGTGGGTGCCCCAATTCGCCGACGCAATCAAGACACCATCATATGCAGAGACGAGCGTTGCAAATCACCACATGTATTTCCTGAACTGCTACACGTATTTCCCTTTTTATGGTGTTGCTTACTACCGGCATATGTGGATTACTCCGGTAGTCGCCACTGTGGTGCCGGCGCCATCGGGTGAGTGAGCCTTAGTGCCGGCAGCCTCGCCAGAGAGTATGTGGGAAACGTGGAATGCTTTTGCTGTGCTATTTGATCAGCTGACGGAATCAGGCTGAGCTACAGGCGAACAATGCTCCCATGTCCACCCCGTGATCACATGTGCCATCATACTCGCGTCCTTCTCTTCCCCGCTTAGTTTACGTAATCGCTCGTAGGTGTCGCGCGGGATAGGGTTTACGAACAAATAGCAAGATATTAATTACCAGCATGATTGTGTCTGCCACACATCCAGACTGTCCGCAATCTTGGTGCGGCCAACATGGTATTTCAAAATTTGCCATCCAAGTGGCAAGTGACCTGCCTATTCATCAGCAACATCGCAAAAATGGCTACCTTTCAAGTATTGTCCTCCGCTGGTCCTGCTCACAGTTTCTCGCAGCCCTTCCTGTCACAACCCTTCGCGGCGCCGTTCAGCCAGCAGTCGCTGTCGGACTACTCGCCACTCGCGCTCTTTGCCGCGGCGGAACAGGTGCAACAGCACTCGCTGCAGTCCGCGACGCCCACGCTCAATCTAAACGTTGACCCGAAACTTCCTTCGCTCGCGGGCTTGCTGAAGCAGATGCAGATGACCTCACCCACGGCGTCCGGTGAACCGTGTCCGCAGCACCTTCGGCTGAGCCCAGTGTCACGACGCCTCGCCATGCCCCCGCTGCGCACCGTGATCAGTCCCACCATGACCAAGCGCGTGCTACCTGCAAAATCAATGCTGCAGACGCCGCTGCCTAGGTTGGGATCCATTGCAATGCAGTCGCACCCACAGATGAGATCGTCTATGGGTCCAAGCTTCCCCAGCAAGAAGCGCTCGTGGGCTGACGCCACTCCCGTCCAGGAAGTGATGTACCCAGCCAAGTCTCGCGCGTCATCCTGCAGCCAATCCACACATCGCAGTCGTGCGTCCAAATACTGTAGGATTGAGGGCTGTGAGCGCGTCTCGCAGCGCAACAACTTGTGCCACAGTCATGGCGGTAAACGGTTGTGCAAGGAGGAAAGTTGCTCGTCCAAGGATCGCGGCAATGGGTTTTGTATCAAGCACGGCGGTGGCAAGATCTGCTCCATGTTTGGTTGTGAGAAGAAGGCTCGGCGGAAAGGGATGTGTACGCAGCACTTTCGCATAACAGACGAGCACAAGGTAGACAGCGTCGTATCCTCTCCTTGCATGACCAAGCGTAGGGCATCTTGGTCCATCTAAACAGTGGCCCAATGAGGTCTTCGTATTGCTAGTCTTAGTTAATCGTATAAGTTACTCGTGTGAGCGACATATGTCGTGGTTGACCCTGTTCAGATTGGTGTGTTTCAGTCAAATGTACTGCCTTTTCTTCTCAAGAGTGGTCTACATCTGCATCTAAGAAAGATTAGAGTGCACAGGTTGTATGTATACTTCCCTTCCTTGGACGCAATCATCCACGAACGGAGTGCCACGCATGCAGCATCCCAAGCACTACTGTTTTGTTCTTGTCGAGCGGCACCGGCTTAGGAACAAGGCATGGCCGTAACGGTGGTTTAAGCCCGTCAAAGGTTGATATCAACCACCGCGTCCTGCCAAAAGTGTCCATTTTGGCAGCCGTTGAAGCTTAAGCAGTGTCCCGTCTGCCTGTGGGATGGTTCGTCAGAAAAATCAATGAATAATCGCAATTTGATAGTTTTAACGAATAAAATGACGATGTTTTGAAAATGAAGGAGTGTACCTCGTCTCAGCAGTTTCTGACCAATCGCAGTCGTCCAAAAAATGAAAGGTTATCATCTTTACCTCTTAAATGTTATTAGTCTAGAATCCTTTCAAAATACTTATATTCGGACAAATTAGCTAACCTTTAGTAATTTGTCTTGTTTAGGGGATCAGGATGTTGATGCAAACAATGCTCAAACGCCAATTTACCTGCAGCAAGAGCCAAGACATCGAACGATGAGCTTCTCTAATAGCAACAGCGCCGATATACGGCCTTCAATGGATGAACACAATGCCTGTGAGTACCTTGAAACGGCACTAACAGTCTTCGTAATTGGTGCATCAGGAGATCTGGCCAAGAAGAAAACGTATCCGTCTCTTTTTGCGCTTTACGCATCAGGTTACCTTCCAGAGCACGTCGTTATTGTGGGTTATGCACGTAGTACCAAGAAAGATGCCGACTTTCGCAAGCAGATTGCGCCTTATATTAAATCCAAGACGACTGAGGCCGAGGCGAAGAAGGAGGACTTCCTTAGCAAGTGCATCTATCGCAGTGGTAACTATGACTCGGCCGAGGACGTGGGGAAAGTCAGTAAGGAGATGGAGGCGTTCGAAGAAGCTCATGGTACATCTGTGGTCAACCGCCTCTTTTACTTTGCCATCCCGCCCACGGTCTTTGAGCCTATTGGCTTGAGCATCAAGAAGGCGGCGCTCACGTCGTGTGGCTGGAACCGCCTGATTGTCGAGAAGCCCTTCGGCCACGATCTTGAATCGTTTAATAAGCTGTCAAAGGATATGGGGGTGCTCTATAACGAGGACGAGATCTACCGCATTGACCACTACCTCGGCAAGGAAATGGTGCAGAATCTTCTGGTGTTGCGCTTCAGTAACACCATCTTTGAGCCCATTTGGAACCGCAATTACATTTCAAGCGTGACTATCACGTTCAAGGAAGACATTGGCACGGAGGGCCGCGGCGGTTATTTTGATTCGTACGGCATTATCCGTGATGTCATGCAGAACCACTTGCTGCAAGTACTGTCACTCGTAGCTATGGAGCCTCCTGTCATGGCTGCTGGCAATAATTACTCAAATTACATTCGCGACGAAAAGGTCAAGGTGCTGAACTGCATTGAGCCTATTAAGTTGGAGAATACGGTGCTTGGCCAGTACGAGGGCGACAAGGAGCGCAATGAACCTGGCTACCTCGATGACCCGACCGTGCCCAAGGAATCGGTGACCCCTACGTTCGCTACGGCGATCATGTATGTGAACAATCCCCGCTGGTCTGGAGTCCCCTTCATTATGAAGGCAGGCAAGGCGCTAAACGAGCGCAAGGGCGAGATTCGGGTGCAATTTCGTCCGCCGCCTGCAGTCGAGCACATGTTTCCAGGCGTAGAGATTCCCGTACAGGAACTGGTGCTCCGTCTTCAGCCAGAGGAGGCCGTGTACATGAAGATGAACATGAAGAGCCCGGGTCTGCAGACCCAGGCGATCTCAAGCGAGCTAGATTTGTCGTACTCCGAGCGTTACGAAGGCACAGAGGTGCCGGATGCTTACACTCGCCTTATTTTGGACGTGCTGCGTGGCAAGCAAGCCGCTTTTGTGCGCGATGACGAGCTACGCGCGGCCTGGAAGATTTTCACGCCGCTTCTGGACGAGATCGAGGGCCAGAAGGTCAAGCCGCTACCGTATACCTTCGGCTCGCGCGGACCGAAAGAGAGTGACGAGCTGGTGAACAAGGCTGGTTTCCAGTACCACCATGGTGCGTATCAATGGCACCGTACCTCGAGTTCGCTATAAGGTGTCTCGTTGTTTCAGCAAAGTAATGCTGTGGTGGGAAAAGTATGATGATGAACACCATATTGGTCGATATAATGGTGAGAGGAGAAATATACACCTCAGCTAGCAGCATCTAACGTATATCGTGATCTTTACGTTGAAAGTATGACTTTGCTCGATTAATAAAATTATAATTAAAAAGGTATGTACTACCTCAAAATATTAACGAAAGGTATTAGTAGATATTATCTACTCTACGTTTTTTGAAAGTTCAAACACAAGAGATGACACAGAGACGGCGTCCAGCCAACCGGAAGGGGCCTCGCTCTGCTGAACACCGCAAGTTTATGAGTCCGCATCTACTTGATCCCCGGTCCACATGTGATAGTCCGTTATTAAGCTCAAGTCTCGAGATATCGACGACAGTCGCGATGGCGCAGAATGAAGACGACAAGAACACAGCGATCAAGACATTCGTACTTAAGGGGGAGACACCGCAAGACGTTAGCGGTGCATCAACTACTGCGTCGTCTTCCGATGATGGAGAGACGAAAAGAAAGATGGATTATATTGAAAAAGAGAAGGACGAGACGACGGTCGATTCTGATGAGCTGCCGCGTCGTAGCAGACGTAAACGTCGCGTGGTGATATTGCTTAGTCCGTCGGAGGTGTCGTCCCGTTACAAGCGGAGAATTGTTGAGCCAAAGGTGCAAACGCTGCTGAAGACTCGTCCTATAGCGGCAATAGATGCTGCTGATCGTGTGGAAGCTGCAGTGAAGGAGAAGAAACGGAAGCAGATTGCTGCCAAGCGAGCAAAAAAGACGGTCTGTAAAGGCAAAACGACGCCCAATGGCCTTGTATCTCCTGTTCAGGACGAGAAGAAAAAAACGCCAAAGAAGAAACGGAGCACTAAGGCACGCCGTTCACTAGAGCCTGTATATTGTTTTGATTTGCAGACAACGTACGTCTCAAAGCTCATTAACGAGCTTTATGAAGAGCAGGAACAGGATGATCGAGAGATGTATAACATTACAAGAGAGACGGTTTTGAACGAGACAAGTTCGTGCATGTGCTCTCAGCAGATTGAAAACCTTAACATGGAGGAATTTCGACGTTTGATGACGTACGGAGAAGTATCGGTTGAGTCGGTGGCCACCACGATCCTGCCTTTGCTGGATCTAGGAGAAAATGACGTATTCTTTGACCTTGGGTGTGGCACAGGCAAAATCCTAGTGCAAGCCGTTTTGCAAACGCCGTGCAAACGGGCAACCGGTATCGAGCTTATGCAGAATCGCGTTTTAGAAGGACACAAGGCACTGAAACGACTACAAGAACGTGATATCGCTATCCTACGCGACAAGCAAATTAAGATCTTCCGGGGTGACATCTTTGTTCCCCCCGAGCAAGCCCGTCTGATGGATGCCACTGTGGTCTTCATTAACAACGTCATGTTCGGCCCTGCTCTCATGTTAAAGGTGATGGAGCTTCTCAAGGATATGTCCAAACTACGCTGTGTGATAACACTCCGAAAAATCTGTGAGCGTCACGGAGACGTCAAGTGCACACGTGCTGGTAATTTCTGCATTGAGTACGTCCATCCGCCAATTGAAGCAGAGATTGACGTGTCCTGGGCTGACAAGACCTCGGTGTATCTCTACGAAAGTCTCGATTACAAGTTGAGGGAGTTGAGGCGTCAGCTGGCTAACGGCACCACTGGGTCAACAGGGTGGCCCAAAGTAGACGGCGCATCAAAGTGGAGACGGGCTTGATCACATCGTTGCTCTAGACCCGGACAACGTTCAGCTGCACGGAGAATAATCGCATGTAGAGCTCCGTTCGAGCCGTTTGCTAGCGGAAGCGCATCTAAACAGGTACCCGAGCTTACATTCATGAGAAGATTTGTCAAGAAATAGAGTATGCATTGTGTTGCTCAACTCCACGACGGTTTACGCGGGCGGCTGTTTACTGCCTGCTGTATAACGAGACATCGTTGCTCGCATTATCGTCAATTTTGTTTTGTCGCAACGGTCTATTGCATTTTAGACCGCTGCAGACAAACTATCAGCTTTTAAATGATGTTCGGTTTCATATACGAGTCTTGAGTACTCTGCTCGAAAAAAATAGCCTCGTAGAAGTTCCGGAACGCCTCCATCTCCTCTACGCCTTGCGAATACTTGGCAGCGTAGCTATTGGGTCCGCCTGAAGGCAGCAAAAGCTTGTTCGTCTCTGCTTGCAGACACGGAATGAGCTTCGCAAGAGGCGGCGCCGGTTTCTTCTCAGGCAGCTCGGCAGCGTTATCCTCGACAACACGACATTCCTGTTTACTCGGTCCATAAACGACATCATCAAGGTCCTGGAAGGCATTGCCACACAAAAACCTCAAGCTATGCTGCAGTGCAGGCATAAAGAGATCACTTTCCAGTAGATCCCACAAGTCGTTGAGAAGACAAATCACATGTTCGTCCTGGTCCTTTTGCTTGTCTGGATAGATCAAAAATTCTCTCCACATGTTCAATTCTGTCGATTCTTCGTGCTTTTCCGCTGCTGCTACTGCAGTCAGTGACGGCATTACCGCCAAGAACAATGTCTGCAATAATTCATTGAGCTCATCAGCTCTCACCGTTGCTTTGCAACTGACTTGCCACGTCTGTAATTGCGTATTTTTGCTCACTACAGTCTCCACATGAGTCTTCAGTTTGCTCAACCCCTTGTCTAAAAAATACTCGAGTCCTGACGACAGGAACGTGTGGTGTGCTTGCTCCTCTGTCTCTTTTTCTTGCTCACGATTTACTAGCCTCACTAGTCGCGTGTTCTTGTCAAAAACTCTCTTTCCAATGATAGAAACTTGGGCAAATACCAGTAAATGCCACAATCCAAACGCCACGAGCGTTGTGAAGTAACGCGTAAACGCCAGTAACTTGGCGTCTTCCCAGAGCGCATTCCGTTCATTCTTTTGTGTCTTGTCAAGCCTTTTAAGCTCTTGTACCACGTTCTCAAGATCCAAAAGATGATACAATTGCGTCTTAAGTCGCGGTAGAAAACGTCGTACAGTTGCGCGACTTTCGTCTGTTGTACTGCTGAGAGCCAATTGCAAACGCTGATGCTCGACCATTTGCTCCTGGATCTGCTTTGTTAATCGCTCAGCTTCATTCAGCATTCTTTTGTACGCATAATACGCACCTCCTGCACATGCTGCACTTACACCTGTTACGACTAGGAGCTTCTTATGACGGCGTGCGAATCCACATGCCGTCTCCTTGAACGCTGACCACATTTTATCTTGAACTGAGTATAGCACGTATCATTTTGGTTGCTCGATGAGTTCGATGATTTCATTGGTTATAAAGGTATCGACTACTTCAGAAAAGATACTTTTTCTTTTATCGGCTACTTTAGAAGAGATACTTTTTTTTATTCGCATAATGGACGCCATGAGTGCTGCTCCTGGACGCTTTGATATGCTCTTGACGGAGCTAGCACAGCAACATGGTAGCGTTGAGTCCTTGATGGATTCATTTTTTGACTTTCTATACCGCAAAACGGACTTTTACGTGGTCTCCAAGGACCCAGAGAGACACAAGATGGGATTTTTACCTGGTCAAGCACAGGAAAAAGTGCTGAAAGCCTTTCAGAAGTACCCAATGAAGATTCTGGATGGAAATAATAGCTACAATATGATTGCCAAGAAGAACGCTGCGACAATTGACCAAGTTGTATCTGCTGCAAGTTCAATTAAAGCTTCTTGTGGTGCTAAAAATGAACCGAAGCTTACGGACGAGGGCAAACAATGTATGGCTAGTGCTACTTGCTTTTTATATTAAGAATGGAACGTGGGTTGTCTGATGTTATTATGCAGTTCCTGTGGGTAATGGAGGACGAGCAGGAACTTTTACATGGACGCAGACTTTGGAGGAAGTTTCAGTAGGTCTTTTTAGCTGATTTAACAAGATGCTGATGGTGGGCTGATGGTATGGATATGTGTGATTGGTCTTGTAGATTCAGATGGAGTTAGTACAAGGCACTCAAGCAAAGGACTTGGACTGTCGGATTACATCTACGCACCTGTATGTGGCATTGAAAAGCAACACGATCAAGCCACTTCTGGAAGGAGAGTTTCCAGAACAAATCCGTGTGGACGAGAGCATTTGGTCGCTAGAGAGCAACCATACACTTCTCATCATTCTAGAGAAGACCAAACCGACGTGGTGGGCTAGTGCACTGAAAGGAGAACCAGAGATTGACACGAACCAAGTAGATTATCGAAGGAGTATTTACGAGTACGATGAAGTCACACAAGGTGCTATCAGAAAAGCTGTATACGACCAACGTCAATACCAGTCGAACGGTAGAGTGCCACTTACACCAGAGGAGCAAATGTTGGAGACAGCAAAGGACTTGCCTGGCTCTCCTTTTCTGTCGTCAACACAATAACATACACTACTGTAGCTGGTAACGTGCGCAAAGCATAGCACTAGTGTTTCATATTCAGCTTGCAAGCTCTGCCCATATTCAGCTCTGCATAGTTGTTCATAGCTATTAACTCAGTTGCTTAGTGTCTTTCATCTATCAGCATTCTCATCTTCCCGCTCGTATCGCCGGTCCAGATCACAGCAAAGGCTACAAGTCCAAAATAAAGTTACAGGATACCCCAGTGACGTTCAAAGCCGTTAAGAAGACGGCAGATAGCCTGGGCTCCGCTCATCGGGTACTCCGAGATCGAAATGGTCTCGTCCAGCTGCATACATCAACAGAAGCACAACAATTAGTATCACTTTTCTATACCTCCAATTCCAAGAAAGTCACGTACATAGTTGCAGTTTTCCTTCGAAACGTGGCCGTGTGCCATGGCACCAATAATAAACACTACCGGTTCATCCTTCGGCAGTGTCTCCACCCATTCCCACGGATTTACCAGTGTACCCGTACGCGACAGTGCGTATTTCGTGCAATTTGCTGGCAGGTACTTGGTCACGGGATTCTTGATTACTTTTAGCAACGTCTGATTGCCGTCTGATGACCGAATCTTTAGCGTGTGTAACAGTTGCACTGAGCCATCCAGTTACAGTGTTAGTCTATTTACATCTACAACAGCTATATATATATGTTATAGCATCAACTGACCCATAAGACCTGCGAATCGCTTGTACGTACGAGGCACGCGCATCTGTGAGCTCACCTCAACGAGCACGCCCTTAGTGCTCTGGGTGTACATCTATCGTAGCAACAATAGAGAAATTCATGACCGTTCAGCTATTTTCAATAGCATGAATACTACTAGAAAAAGAATACACGAACCTTGAGATATCCAGCCTTATTAAGCGGCGAGTCCAACAATGCCATAAGCTCTTGGTGGAGAATATCTGGACGGGATTGACTTGCTTCACGATTAAGTTTCTTGTGAATCCCTTTGTGATCATCACAGTTAAGCAATTGATAACCTTTCGAGGTCTTGACCGTCTCCAATGCCGCCTGTTCCAAGATTACAATCACTTGACGACGTTTTACGTCTTCTTTGCTTGCACTCATTGTTACGATTGTCACTGTCTCAGCAAAGCATTGGTTCCTATGAATGTAGTGTGTACCACGTCGGACACGGCTTCATACTTGATCTTGAAACGACACGTTTTGATGTATCTCACACAAAGGCAACAATGGTCGATGATGACGGACGTTGCATCTTCATATAGCAGACAGGGTGAGTTCTATTATCTTGCAGCTAAGTGTTGGTTGTATCCGGTTGCGACACGTTATTTTCTGGTAGTACTTGCAGGCTGATCTATGAAACCAGCATCTGAATAGGAATCTGCGATGACGACGTCTGCTGTCGCTGTTCATCCTCACCTTCTTGTTGGTCTTGTTGATCATTGACGAGAGGAGTAGGTACTGTGCTACTTGTAGCTGCAGAAGCGGATGTAGCAGAACCGATGGGATTCAATGCTTCAGCTACACGTAAATACTCGTCACGACGGCCTTGCGATTCATTTAAGAACGTAGCGAGTGCTTCTGGACGACCAGCATTTCCAGACTCTCCTGGCGTGTAGTTAGCTGGGAGAGGCTCGATACTAGGAAGTAATTCCTCCTCTTGCTTTACACGAGCCAAGACCAGTTTTTCAAAACAGTTCCCTGGTGGTGACAGGCTAAACTCGCGACGGTCTTCAGGCTCCACATAGCGCTCTGCGACATTTCCATGTTCTTCGAGTATAGCAGCGCAAATCGTCTCCACCTTACGCTCCAAGACTGAAAGAGACGGAAACTCGTTCAGGGTACGTAGAAACCAGTCATTCATCTCTGCAATCGTCTCGAAGTGATGACGGTACAGAGGATGGAAGGTAGTCGTACCCTCCAAAAACACAGTGCGAATGTGGTGCTCTCGTGCCTGACGGTGGAATGGCAGCTGACGATCCAGCATCATATGTTCCCAGCCGTAAATACCATAGCGAGCCATGCCGTAAAAGACACCCAAGTCGTGAATCCATGGACACCACCACACTGGCATATTCTCCACCAAACCGTGCTTTCCAGACCGAAGGAGAGTCTCCAGTGCGTCTCGTTTAGTGGATAAGATGTCTAGCACATCTTCAAGCAATTGAGTGCGCCGCATTGTTACCCAAGCAGTGTTGCGAGCCTTCAGCCCATGGGCCAATACACCCTCGAAAGCATCCACAAACTCGATACCAATAAGATCGCCCAACGCCACTGCACGCTGGTCTGAGCCCAGCGGATCTGCCCGCATACGTGCAACCTCACGACACTTGGGGGCAAACTTTGTCTCGTAAAAGGTTCGTGTGAGAGTGGCAGTCTTGTTCAAATTGCCCCACTCCACAATGTTGCGCCACGAAATGCTATCCGTCGCCCATGAAAATTCGCGCGCTTGCTCCGTCACGAAGGGAAACACCGACGGGGTTGGTCTACCATCCGGAGCAATTACGGCACGTTTTGCTAAGATTCGCGGCGCGCCATGGAGTGCCATCATGTACGCAAATGAGCGACGCTCCTCCTTGGTCCAATCTGTATTTTTCATGCGGTGCTGTGGAGTAGCGAACAATGTGGCATCCGGAAGTTGGCGAGCATTGTGCAGTACTGTCATGTGCCGGAGAATGTCTACCTGCGCAAGCTGCATGGCCTTTAGCTCCAGCCGACGCAAAGCTAAAGAACGCGCTCGCATTTCGTGGCCAACTTGTCGCCTTTGTTCAATAGCTGCGCGCTCCTTCTTGTATCGGTCCTTTTCGTGGCGCCGCTTAGTCTCCTCCGCAGACAGCAGCCAACTCAACAAGCGGTTCATATGCTGAACCTCAGGCTGCTTAAATGAATAAGCAGCTGCTAACACTTTACTTTCAGCTGCGCCAGCTTCGGTCTTCACTTGCGTAAACATATTACTACTGTCATCGATAACAGAGCCTGTCGCACTCTCCGAATCAACATCACTCATATCTGCGTCGTCACCTCCATCTGCAGCTGTGGCGCTTTCCATTCTAACCGGATCCACGGCCAGCCGAAATGCACTTGTCATACCGGATTGGCTCATGTTACTCACTTCAACTTGATCTTGAGCAGCTTTCTCTAAGCGTGCAAAATACAGCCGCGGGTCTGCCAGGATTTGGGCGCAACGGCCGTATCCATGAAGAAAAACACCCATCAGCAAGTTCCGGTCAGCATTTTCATTCCACCATGGCGTAATTTGTGTCCATGCTGGTCGCTCTCCTAAGTCAACTAACTCGATATGCGGTACTAGCTTATCCGCACCGTAGTATCTAGCACGGTCATCAATACTAGCAGTCGGTTTGGGTTTCGACTTTGAGCTATCATCAGTATCTCCATAAATCTTGTCACACATATCACAAGCAGTAGTAACCAGATGCTGAAGTCTTTGAAGCATATCCAGTCGAACCAGCACCCGTCGACCGCCACCTTGCTTTAATTTAAGCATAAAGTCCTCTTCCTTCAGAACTGTTGACAGTTCCTCTTCATCAACAAGATTTTCCGTTTGAGCGAACGTCGCTGCGTGAATTGACGCCTTCACAAACGTTGAATCATCTTTACGCTGATCACAAGACAGGCCCGAGACATAGATAAACCCGCGCGCAAAGCGTTCCACTTCCTTCACAGAACGACTACCGCCGCTCTGGCTTCGAATAACCTCCCAGCGACCAAAACCATAGTGCATTAGCGCACGCTGCAAGCGATCACGTCCATTTTGTGTCCACTCTCGGGGTGCACTTTTCTCCTCAAGCCGTTCGCGTTCTTCCTTTTCTCTCTCACGCTTTTCTTGCTCATATTCGTCATCGGATATACTGCCGTCAGAGAAATTGCCTCCGTCGCCGAAGCGCGCAACACGAGTTCGCTTGCGTTGATGCGGCAACAAGATTTCGGTTTCCACTGGGTCTGGCTCTGTAAGACCCACAGCTTTCTTCCAGAAATCAGGATCGTCGAGATCCACATCGTCCGAGGTAGTGGCTGATACAAAACTTGCTTTTGAAAAGCTTGACTGCGCCTGCTCAGTGTACTGTATAACCTGTGACGAGCGCTGTAAGATCTGGTCGATGTCTAATGCACAAAATTGTTCGCCAGCGGTATCATCGTCGCGGAACACATCGTACGCACCACGTTTCAGCAAATCATCGATCTCCTTAGATTCTTGTGCCCTGGCGCTCTTGTTTCGTTTTTTGCCGCCCTCTTCTTCGTTTTCACGACGCATGTGCGTAAGCACGGCTTTGTCTAATCCAAGTTTCAGGGAGGCTTTGTGAAACATATGCATCTCGTAGGTTTTACGAGTAATTAAACGATAAATCTTCACCGAATGTGTCTGGCCGATACGATGAGCACGAGCTTGTGCTTGCAGGTCATTCTGAGGATTCCAGTCGCTATCGAAAATAATGACCGTATCTGCAGCTGTTAAATTCAATCCTAAACCACCAGCCTTGGTCGACAACAGCATCACAAATCGCTTATACTCGGGTTTGACAAAGCGGTCAACCGCAGCTTGGCGGTCATTGCCACGAATGTTACCATCCAGCCTTTCGTACAGATGCCCACAGTAGCGTAGATAGTCTTCGATAATGTCCAACACACGGACCATTTGGCTAAAGATGAGCACTTTGTGTCCTCCGTCATTTAATCGCGGCAGCAACTTATCGATTAACACCATCTTGCCGCAACACTTTACCATCATCTCATGACGTTGTGCGTCCGTCGTCAATCCTTCGTTTAAAATGTCCTCCACCCCGTTATTCAAATATGGGTGGTTGCAACATTTGCGAAGCTCCATCATGACGTTCATCAGATTAGGAACATTGCGGGGATTTCCGCCGCGGTTCAAAAACGCCGTGTTTCTCTCGTAGATTGCACGATACCATTGTTTTTGAACCGGTGTAAGTTCCACTTCAACAATGGTCTCCTCCTTAGGGGGCAATGACTTTTCAACGTCTTCCTTT